ATACGCCTGAAATCACCAATCTCCTCCGCGTCGGGCTTCTTGGGGATGAGAATAATGTTGGACTTGTTCAAGCGAGCAAAACCTCTCGAGTCGCCCACAAAAAGCTTCATCAGCACCGCCATAATATCAAGCTTGATGATCTGCCACGCTTTTTGGAAAAACGCGCCAATGTATCCATCCGGCCCTGGCTCTCTATCCGGTGGCATCTCCTTGATCACCTGCCACACCTCCTCCTCGGTGATCATCCCTTCCAAACAGCTCAGGTCCTTAGCCTCGATCCCTAGGTACTGCAGATCAAGAGTGTGATCTCTCGTAAGTGCAGTCCCCAACAGCTTCTCATACGCTTCGGTGAAAACCTCCATCTTCCTCTCTTGGCCGGTTACCAAGTTCTCGCCGATCTTGACGTGCGCAATGAAGTTTTTGGTTTTCCTCCCGTTTGCCACGGCTTGGAAGAGTTTAGTGTTAGCATCCCCTTCCCTGATCCATCTCAGTCTAGAACACTGTCGATCAATAGTCCGTTCCAGAGTCGCCATGCCCAAGAGAGCTTTTTTGAGAGTTCAACGTAGCCAGACTTCCCGGGACAGCAGCTCCCTACTCTCCAACGCCTCATCCAGTCGGTGAATCAACCAAGTCACCACCCTCATTAACAGTTTCTCGTTTCCGACTCTTCGCTGGCCCCAGGCTTGGAGGGACGCCGCTGAGTTGCGCAGCAATGTATCCAACCTCTTGTACGGGTCCGTAATCGTGGGGTCACAGACCCAAACCTCTCGGACTGCATCCTCAAAACCCTCTAACTTGACCCAGAACAACTCAAATCTGAAGCGTTTCTGGGGACAAAAACCTGCACTCGTGGTCAGGTGAAGCGAAGCGTGATCCGAGACTCCGATGGATAGCGCCTGCAGCAGGTAGTTGGTGTTCTGCAGCTCCCAACCGACCGTCATTAGAATTCTGTCAATTTTGGTCAGAGTGGGCACCTCTCTTTTGTTGGACCAGGTGAACCTCCTCCCGTGCATGTACATCTCCCTATGCTCATGGTCATCCACAAAATCCTTGAACTTGTTCATCATAGTCCTGTTGAGGTTGTTGTTATTCTTTTCGGAAGCTCTAAGAATCATGTTAAAGTCTCCTATCACAAGCCAAGCACCCGGGAAAATCGTGCGCCTCATCGTGAGCTCCTCTAAAAACTGGCATTTGCGCTCGTCTCCCTGAGGACCATAGATGACCGTGATCCACCAGGGCTCCCCTGTCTTGGGACGCACCCTCCCCGTGACATAGTTTGTGTCAAGTTGTATCGCTTCCACATCCAACACCGAGCTATCCCAAGCCAATAAAACACCCCCTCGAGTCTCCTCCGCCAGCAAATAGGCAAAGCCATCAAAGGATGGTCCCATACATTGCATCACCGTGAATCTATCTATTACATGCATTTCGGTCTCTTGGAAACATATGAGGTTGACCTCCAACGTGCTCACGAACTCTCTCACTGCTTTCCTCTTGGCTGGATTGTTCAAACCCGGACATTCCAGCAAAGCACCTGTGGGTGTAGATCCATGGAGCCAAACTACACCTACTCCGCAGGGGAAACCCTACTAAGCACACACCACCAGTGAGCTTTGTGCCTGTAGCTCCTCCAGCGATGGTAGTGCCTTGCCGAAAAGTGCCGCGATGATCCTCATGTGTTGCTCACGCAACAGAGAGTCAAAGAGCTCCTTGAGCTCGTGCACCACTCCCTCATCCACCTCCAAATCATTGGGCACCATGCCCAAAGCGTGAAGAAGCATGTTTTCCACCGGCGTGTCCCTAGCTCTCTTGGTCGTTGTGCTCTTCTTTGACGCTCTCGTGGTACGTTTTGGCATGAATGGCTCGGCCTCTGGGCGTAGTTGTGACGCTTGCACCTCTTTTAGCAGGGGCGGGAAGAGACGTTTAATGATGCTGGAACATAAGCTTTTAAGCTTGCCATACGCCACCGCCTCACGAGCAGTCTCAGTCTCCTGCCTCCTGGGTGAGCATACCAGGCTCCTGCAGTTGTTGATCAGTGGCTCCGCCTCATCCTGCACCACCAAGATGCTTTCATTGCCCTAGCCTTCCATCATACAGTTCGCGGTCGTGGATGCACCCAACGTTGTATGTGCATGATTCTCATCAGGGTGGGTCCCAACTTCCAGCACTGATTGGGACACGGCAGCCATGGAGGAATTGATTACTCTCCCCACCACAGTCCCGATCAGATCCTCCCCCAGTGCGCTCGGCCTCGGACCACGGCCCTCTGGGTCCACCCGCAACTCCTGCTCCGCCGGTCTCATCTGTCTCTCTTTGTCTCCATCCTCGTGATGCCCCTTCTGGGCAGTGGGGCCTTCCTGGTTTTCCTTGTCTCCATCCTCCTAGACGAGCGCCGGCCCGCCATGTGATGGCCCGCCCATTGTCTCGATCTGCCTCGGATCCCCAGAAGCGGTCTCCTCCGCTGGCACCAGGGCCCGTAGATCTTGATCCCCCGACCGATGCAGCTCAACTGTTGCTCCACCACTTATCCCCAACTGCCTTGACTCCTGATTGGCCCGCCGAGTAGGTGAGATCTGGCTTCTTGCTGTCTGGTCGAGGAGCAACCGCGACTGATTCGGCAACGGATCCAATGTCGCATGCCCCTCCGTCCTCGTGCTTGGTGTAGCAGTTGCCAAATTCGCCAGCACCGGCTCCTCCCGCGTGCCACTTCTCCTGTTCCCCGCGTTTGAAACTCCCGCCAAATGTTCCGCTGGCCCCGGCGCAGTGGCAATCCGGTCAAAAGTAGACTGCCTGCACGTTATTCTGTCTGCCACCATCACCCGTGGGGGCCCCTGTCCCGCCACGTCCGCAGTGTCCATCGGAGGGAGGCGCCAATCTGCCACCACAGAACTGGCCTGACCCACGGCGGCCATATAGCTATGGCGTCTGCCACCCTCACCGGCGACGAAGCCGCCTCCATGCCGATCGCGGACTCCGAACTACCATGGCACACTCCGTCGCCGCGGCCCTGAACCACCAATGTCACCGTCCTGATCTGGAATGTCGCTCTGCCCGTTGTCCGATGATCCATCAAGGAACCATGGCTCCCCTGCCTCACGACTATCCATCACCGCATCCAAGTGTATGAGAACCTTGTACTGGAGAAACGCAGGCGGCCGCTCCTCTCCCGGCTCCGGCACGGCAAGCCAACGTAGGGTCGGGATGCACTGCGGGTCCGCCGTCCAGGCAGTGACTTTGAATGAGGCCATGTCAGCTCGGGAAGTGGTCTCCGGCGCTACGGTGATGATCTTGCACGAAGAGCCCAGCAACTCAGCCACGACGGACCGGTCCCAGGCATGGGGAGGGATCCCCTCGAGCTCCAGCCAAACCTTTAACCCCGCGACCGAATGCACTGCCTGCGATTGCCTATTCCACGGCCTGAAGATGAGCCTCTTCCTTGGTCCTCCATCGACGGGCAAGCCGAAACTCTGTTCCTGAGCTCCACCGAGGCGAACACCACCAGAAAGTCCTCCGGCCAGTGGCGGTGCACATAAACCAGCTCCGGAGGAATCGCCAACTTGCCCTCCAACATTTGCCGCACCCGATCCGACAAAAGCGTCCTCCTTGCGCCTCCCACATAGGCCACCATGGCGAATTGCAGCCGCCTCTCCAGGTCTGCCACAATCGGCGATCTGCTTGTGATGCAGAGCTGCGCCTGGTCGCCCTCCACCTCGAGCGCCACTTGTAGGCGCGGCGGCACGAGCGGCGGCCAGGCCGGGCACACCTCGCGCGCAACCGACCGGGGAGGGGGTGGAGGCGGGGGAGACCGGCCGAAGGGGGCGACGAGCCAGGCGGAGGCGAAGCCCGACGAGCCACCTTGGCCACCACATCGCGCCGCAACTCGTCGATGGGAGAGGGGGCTCCGCGGGCACTTGCAGTCTTTAGATCCATGGCCAGGGAGGCCGCAGCGGAAGCACACGATGTCATTGGTGCAGTCGGTCTTGTAGTGACCCTTCTCCAGGCAACGGAAACACTTGTCCTGCATCTCCGGCGAGACCTCACGCCGCACCGCCTCGCGGCCGACCGCCTGGCCTCGCCCATCTTGACCACCCAGACCGTGCCGACGTCTCCATAGCTCCTTCTTGGTTGGTGGTGGCTGCACCCAGCAGACGATGCCTCCGGCCGGATTCCTCGTCGCCCCCGACGCCGGCTCCGCGCCCACGGCAAGCGCCGCCGCCGGCCCCCGCACCTCCGAGCCGTCAGACTCCGAGGAGATCCCCAGTCCAGACACCACCGGGCACTCCCCGCTGGCCAGAACGCAGAGGTCACAGATCTCGGGCTCGTCGCCATGGCGCACGTGGCGGGAGGGGAAGGAGGAGGGGCGACCGAGAGGGCAGAGAGGAAGGGGAGGTGGAGGTGGACGCCGCGGCCGGAGTGACCCACGTCCATGTGGAGTACTTAATTGAAACTTTCCTGCTCTTTCCTCCATGTTTTTAACTTGGATCGAATTCCCTGCACCATCCAAATGGATATATTTTTTAAAAAATCTGTATAATTTGCTTGAGATCACTGGTGAAACAGCGCTGGAGATCGAGCATTGGCCCGTTCAAACTTCCGAATAAAATACTGGCACGAGACGTGAGGTCCCACGAACGATAAATTTCGAAGTTTCGAACGCCTCGATCGGCCATCACTCCCCAGTCCCCAGCGCAGCCACCCACCGCGCCGCGCCGCTAGTGCCCTCCACGGCTCCACCCCAACAAACGGTCAGATT